TTAATAGAAGAGTACAACAAATGTTTGATTCTAAGATAGTGAAAAAAGTACAAGTTATGGAATAACATTTTTTATTTTAGTTGATAAATTATTGAAACATGGCTTTTATTACCTAATAGTCAAGTGTAAATAGAATATTTATTATTTTTTGAGAAAATGATTAATTTTTTTGTCATTACTTATGTAAAGAAAAAAAATCGATTTTTTTTTTAATCAATTAGACTTATACTTATACTTATAGAAAAAAAATTTATTGATATTGATTATTGATATTTCGTAGAAATTGTATTGATTTACCAAAGAACACTCGATAAACTTCACGAAAAATATGATATTTCATGTTTTTGAGCCAATATTTCGTAATAGATTATGGAAAACTATAAAAGTCATCATTTACTATTTGAGGTTGAACTTTAACCTCAAATATCTTTTAGAAGAGTCGACTAAGCAAAAAATTATATCAGATCTTTTTTGTACATCGTTCAATTCCCTACAAGAATATGTATTGATTTTTACAACACACTAATTCGTTAAATCGCAATAAAATTACAAACAAAAAAATGTTTTTTTCCCGTGTTATTTAAATGGAAAATAAAAAATCGCGATGAGCCACCTCTTAATATTGATATTAAGAGCTCAAACTTTATCAGAATTTTTTTTTCGTCATCTTGGACAATATTTTCATGGTAGCTAAAGAAAAGAAAATTAAAAGTTTTTTTTAAATCAAGTACTTTTTTTTATTGATATTGATTATTGATATTTCGTAGAAATTGTATTGTTTTCCCAAAGAACACTCGATAAACTTCACGAAAAATATGATATTTCATGTTTTTGAGCCAATATTTCGTAATAGAGCATGGAAAACTATAAAAGTCATCATTTACTATTTGAGGTTGAACTTTAACCTCAAATATCTTTTAAAAGAGTCGACTAAGCAAAAAATCATATCAGATCTTTTTTGTAGATCGTTCAATTCCCTACAAGAATATGTATTGATTTTTACAACACACTAATTCGTTAAATCGCAATAAAATTACAAACAAAAAAATGTTTTTTTCCCATGTTATTTCAATGGAAAATAAAAAATCGCGATGAGCCACCTCTTAATATTAATATTAAGAGCTCAAACTTTAGGAGAATTTTTTTTTCGTCATCTTGGACGATATTTTCATGGTACCTAAAGAAAAAAAATTAAAAGTTTTTTTTTGGCCCACTCTAATATATATATATATAGGCGCCTAACCCACAAAATTGAAAAACAAAATGAGATTTTTTGCAGATTAACCTACGATGGTCTATTGTATTCTCACGAAATGGCCTATACAAAGTTTAGTTTATATACAAAAGTGCTCTTTTAGTTCCACCCTTACTTCTTAAGAAGTCCCATAAGCCAACTGAATGGCTTGTGCGGATTAGGGGTAGGAACGGACCGCGGGCTTAAAGTCCCCTCCGAAGAACTAATACACAATAGGACAAACACAAATAAACAGCCATACCCCTGGTGGGATTCGAACCCACGACCTCCGGCTTGTAGTCAGCAGCACTAACCACTAGACCACCATCGACGCTGAAATAAAACCTTATCTCAGTGTAACCCCCAAAATTTAAAACAGTTTACGATTCTATTACTCCTCGAGGTGGCCTATACTGTACTATAAAAATACATATATGTTTTAAATTTTGGGGGTTACACTGAGAGAAGGTTTTATTTCAGCGAAACGCATAAGTTTGTTTTAAACGTATGACGGAAAGGTTTAATGGTAAAAAACCATCACTTTGGAGCTTCCGGAAAACTGCTTTTGAACGAAACGCATGTAGATTTGTGTCAAATTTGCTGATTTTGAATTCTTTGTTGAATACTTTTCTGATAAATTGGTAATTGCTTGCTAACAGTATAGTCGATTTTGTATGAATCGATATAAGTTTGCCTCAAACTTACTAATTTTGAATTTCTTGGCATGTAACTTTAGGAAAAATTGGTATCTGCTTGTTACCAATAAAGTTCATTTCCATTAAACGTACCTGCATTTCTAAAGAAATTACGGTTTCTTTGGATGAAACTCCATATTGCTTAAGAATATCGTCGGCCTTATCACGAAGTGGCCTAACCGACAAAATTGAAAAACAAATTGAGATTTTTCGCAGATTAACTTACGATGGTCTATTCTATTCTCACGAAATGGCCTTTGTATTTTTACAGTACAGACTTTGAACTATGCGCCTCCTCGTGGAGTAATGGAATAGACCATCGTAAGTTAACTCTCGCAAAATGTCACTGTTTTCAATTTTGTGGGTTAGGCCACTTCGTGATAAGGCCGACTATTTATACAATATTAATTAATATTAATATTAAACATTATTCCGTTTCATCCAAATGTTTGCATGGAAGCAAAATTATTTTGTAAGAAGTGTATATGTTATGGCAAATGTGCAAACTTGGATAGTTTATAAACTAGCCAAACTGTCAGCTATTTTAATTGAAAACATATTTTCAACTAAATTAGCGGCTAGTTTACAAAATAACCAAGGATCTTGGCTAATTTACTTGAAATTATTAGGGAAACTAAAATAGCTGGATACACTGTTCAAAATTTTAGCTAATTTTTACCTAAAATATTAGACTATATAGGACCATTGATTTTTTAAGGCAAACTGCCTAAAATGAATTCAGAGGAATATTCCCCTTTTAAATTAGTGAATTCTTTAACTGATATTTATAAGGAAAATAATACAATTAATTAAGCAAAATCACTTAGGTGTCAAAGATGATACACCTTAGATCGTAAGGGACATTTCCTGAGAATAAAAGAATAAATTTCCTGTTTTTAAGGCGATTTGCTTAAATTTTTAGGTATATTTTAGCTAAGTTTTTAGGCAAATCATATATATTTTTAGTGAAAATCCTCTTATTTTTAACGGTAAATTTATCTAATTTTTTTAGATAATAAGTATATCCTAAAAAATTCTATTAATTTTTTAGTGAAATTTCACTAATTATCTAGTGAAGTTTTACTAATTTTCTAGTAAAATTCTACTTATTTTCTAGTGAAATTCCACTATTTCATCAGACAAAAATATAAGGGGAACAAGAATTGGCGGTGGGGGCATTTAGGAGAGAAGATATTTCTAATGTCATTTTTATTCTCACGCATTGCTTTGGTAATATACTATTTTGGAAATATACTATTGTAAATGTTAAATATTATTGTAAAAAGTTACCGATAACCTAGTAGTGTTTATCCCTATATCGAGCAATGTGAATGAGAAAAGAATTACATTATAAATCCCCCTTTTAAGTGCTGATGGGTTAAATAAAAAATTCATTTATTTTAGTTAAATTGAAAATATTTATTAATAAATATGTATAAATTAAAAAAATTAAAGTAACAAAAACGAATTACGTTTATTTTAATAATACCCATGGGTATTAGCTGCAGCTAATTTATAATTTTAATAATACTTATAGGTATACCTACTTTATAAGTTTAATAAAGTTTCTTTTGGCATAGGAATTTTCTTTCAAGTTGGGACTCCTTTATCTTTATGTCCTAGGCACATTAACAACGGCGGTTCCGGTACTACAGGGTTAAAAATAAATTGGGGTCAATGGGAAATTTCATTTGGTTTGGATTACTTAACTATAGCACTACAAAATGTTCACTTATAGCACAATAATTGTTAACTATGTTGTTATTGATAAATAGCACACAACGCGGTCTTTACGTTTTCGTTGATTTTGGCATTATGGTGGACAATATAGGCGCGAATATTTATCGTAAAACGTCGGTATTAGCGATTGTAGCCGATTGCAAGTAAGTCACTAATATTTAAAGGAATTTACCTAAATTAGTTCAATAATTTGCCATAATAATTTAGAAGAATTACCTAAATTAAAAGCAAAATTGTCGTACCTAAAAGTAATTGAGATTTTGACTAAATATTTAGGTAATCTGCCTATCTTTTTAAATTTGACAAGTTTATTAAGTAAAGTATGTATATTCATCTAGAAGTTAGTGAATACACCATTGAACTAAGGCATTAGTTTCTGCCTAATAAACGAGAAGGTAAATTGCTTTACTCTTTTAAGCATATTACCTTATTTTTCCTTAACTAATTCTGATTAGGTATTTCAAAAGGCTTGATTTTGAACAGTGTAGTTTGTATAGTACTTATACTATCCAATTCAGTTTGGCTAATATGAAAACCAAAATTTTTAGTAACACAAATTAGCCAAGCTTTAGCTAGTTTGTAAACTAACCAACCAATTCTCTGGCTAATTTATTAAAAAAGTGAGGTTACGGCATTGTTTTTCGTTTTGCCGGCTTAACCGAATTTGTTTTGTGCATTTTAACGTTTTTAAAATGAATCATAGGCAAAATTTTAACGCTTCCTTGTTAGAAAACTCAACAACACAACCCTACCGACCCCGCCCCATATGCGGCTTAAATTACATTTTTATTTTTATTCTAGTTTTTAGAAATTGTTACGTTTTTAATTATTACTTCAGCAGTTACAAATGTATATACTGTAGAGAGTACCGCTCTGGATCTCGGAATGATGACTCATCGCCGATGAGTCATCGTCGGTGAGTCAGCGCTCGAACAATCGAGGGCGGTGTGGAGCTTGCTGGAATGTTCGAGAATGCGCTTGCGTGACTATTGTCACGTAGGCACTGAATATATAAGGAACAGCGCAGCATGGAACAGTCAGTCAAGTTTTGGTACTCGAGACGAAATAAATAAATATACGTGCAAATAAATAGACTCTTGAACAGTAGTGATATATAAATCATTAGTAGTTAAGTATTTAGTTAGTTTTATAGTATTTAGTATTTTAAGTGTAATTAAGTTATAAATACTTATAAATAGTTTAGTTCGTTAATAAACCAGTGCGTTTTAATTCACACTACGAACAGTAAAAACGTTACAATATATTTGTAACTGTTAACATAATTATATTAATACCTGCCTAAACCTCGAATTAAAATAAAAATGACTTACCTGATGGCCTAACTCTGGCAAAAATCCTGTCCTTTGAATCCACAACTTTTGGTTTGATTTCTTTTTCAAAAACATCCTAAAAGTAAAAAATAAAATTAGTTGGAAACCTCATTTAGAGATATTAAACTAATCTATTCTTTGAAAGGAAATATTTTGACAAAAATAATCATTAAAAAGCATCCCATTTACAACTTACAGTTAAAACATAAATATTTTCCATTAAATTTAATTCACCTAGGGTAAAATTAACCCTATAGGGGTAACCGTCAATTCTGTTACTTAGAAGCCCAATAGCATATGATGGTTTACCATTAACTTTAGGTAGAATCGGTTTTGTCCAAAAATCAATTTGACTTTTCTGAAAAATCAAGAGTATGTTTTATAATCTCAGGCAACACATATTACATGTGAATGTACTTACAGATAATATTAATTTTCCCTGTATTCCCATAGGATCTTGGTTGATTCTAATAACGTCCTTATTTTGAAGTATGTGTTTGAATTGTGTTTCCATATGCCTTAAATCCACAGACATTATTAGAGGGGCTGCCATTATAGACCATATCGCCATTTGGGCCTTACTTTGGTCGTAACTTAAACCATAATTTCCAATCAACAGCTACAAAAGATAAAATACGTTTAATTGTCTTCTTTCACATTTCCCAAATAAACTGTACCATATCAGGGTCATTCCAGTGCCCAGGTCCTGCAAATGGTGCTAGACGGTGCTGATTTTTACTAAACCAACTCAATATAGATGTGACATTTTCCCAAGAATCGTTGATATCATCCCAGTTTCTCCAAAGATTGCAAGACTCGCTTAAAGCTGTATAGTTTGACTAAAAATATAAAATATAGTAATATAGGTACTAATATTTGTTTATAATGAGTAAGTATATACTTCAATTCCTAATGGTTCTTGATAGGCTGGCCAACTGCAGGAATAGACTATAGGTCTTCCAGTGTCGTTTAGGTATTTGCTCATTTTGGCGTATCCTAGAAAAAAATAGTGTTTTGATTTTATAATTTTTGACTGTTTTTGTATACAAGGAACTGCCGTTTGAGTCACTCCAAATAAAATTACAAAAAAAATAGCTTAAACTTTATAGGAATGTTCATTATAGCCCCAAAGACGGAAATCCACGGTGATTAATTTTCGAATGCGTCACTTCCGGTTGCACAAAATATAGTAGGTATTCGTGTCCTTTATGATTTTAGCTTTAGTTTTTTTTATTTGAGATATCTACTCGTTTAAGATGGAATTATAAAGTTACAAAATAAAAAAATACAAAAATCACAACTCTGAAAAAAAAAACACGGTAATGAAAATAATTGTATTTTACTTTTTGTGATTTTTAATTGATTACTCTATATGCACATGTGCTGTTACATGTAAACGGCTAATGTTTGTTAGATAACAACTGCACATATAGTAATAAGAAAAAAATTGTTTTGTAAGAAAAAACGTAACCTAAAATTCAAAAATTTAAAAGTTTGCCCATTTTTGGCATGGATATGAACATGCGGGGCGGGGCATAAGATAAAAATCTGAAATTTGCAGTTCTCACCCAAAACTTTAAAAGTCTGCAAGATTCGTTTTTGGATTTTTATCCCTTTTGCCTGAACAAATAATTAAAGAGAATGAAAAATATTAGCGATTCGTTTATTTTCAGCATACAATTTAAGTGAACTATCTTGACTAGTAGTTTTTAATTATTATACTTAATAATTAAGAGTTCCGAGCCATCTTGGACGACTAGAAAACTTAAGCTAAAAATTTACAGCTAAAATTACAAAGCATAAAAATAGCACTTTAGAAAGCTTTATTTCGTACAGACCGGAAGTTCCACATGCGGAAATTAAATAACTGCGATTTAGTGATTATTAGAAAATAGATAGTCATTGATAGTAGGAACCTTCTGGCATTATTTTTTGGTCAACATAACACCCATCAAACTTGAGGTAGTCCACACCCCATTCAGCCCATGTCTGAGCATCTAACTCCAAATAATCCAAGCTTCCAGGATACCCGGCGCAAGTTTTTGTGCCAAAATCGCCATATATTCCAAACTTGAGACCTCTAGCATGAATCTACAATAAAACCATACATTTACATTTTTATATAGTAGCATATACAATGTATATATTATATACTATATACTATATTAGGGTGTGTCATTTTTAAGCAACTTTTTTTTTCAACTAAAAACAGGCTAAAAACTTTCAGGAAGGTGAAAAAAGAAACCTCTAAAAATTTGAGCTCTTAATATTAACATTAAGTGGTGCCTGTTCCTAACTTTCCATTTTCCATTTAAATAACATGGACATTTTTTTTTTCTTATTTTTGTAGCTTGACATTTGAGCATTGTAAAAACGAACTGAAAAATTATTTTGGTAGGAAATTGAACGCTCTACAAAAAAGTTTCAATATATTTTTTCATAGAGTGAGCCGTTATAAATGAAGGAATTTAAACTTAAAGTTGCCTTTAACATTTCGAATCGCGGCACGTTAGCGTGCCTCTAGTCACTGTGTAATCCGAACGGAAATATACCGACTGAGCCGATATAATCTTTTATCAGAGTTAACGACTTTAGTTGAGATGAAATTATAAAAAATAAAGAAAGATTAAAAATTCAATGCAATAGCAAATTCATTGTTTTATTTAATCTATTATAATAATATATATATTATAATTATAATTATTGAACAAATTAATTCATTGAACACAAATACCTAACTTTTTTTGATAGTAAATAAAATAAAATGGAAAAAAAATGAGATGTAAGTGTTATTTTCATTCTATACGAAAATAATTATTTTTTCTTAAAATAATTTTTAAGACATAAAAAAAGTATTAGTTTAATAAAATAAAAGTCATAATTTCATACATTTGCAAGTTTGAATACCTTCAGAACGGCTTACTCTAGAGTAAGCTATGAAAAAATAAATTAAAACTTTTTTGTAGAGCGTTCAAATTCCTACCAAAATAATTTTTCGGTTCGTTTTTACAATGCTTAAATCTAAAGTTACAAAAACAAGAAAAATATTTAAATGGAAAATGGGAAGTTAGGAACAGGCATCACTTAATGGTATTATTAAGATCTCAAATTTTTAGAGGCTTCTTTTTTCACCTTCCTGAAAGTTTTTAGCCTGTTTTTTAGTTGAAAAAAAAAGTTGCTCTAAAATGACACCCTAAATTAGGGTCCCTAATATATATTATAGTATACTATATACGTGACTAACGTGGTGGGAGTTTGAAGTGTAAAGCATATGACATATACATATACATTGTATAATATACCACGTAAGTCACGTGACGTGACTTTGATAGAAAAAAATAAGTTAAATTTTTTGTCAGTGTCAAGCTAGTTTCGTCCAATTTTCTGAAAAAAATTCAATATACAGGGTGTCCCAAAAGTCAACGATATCCTTTGAATGACTAATATATAGGTCCAGGGCCGGATTAAGACAATTTGTCGCCCTAGGCCAATAATAATGGCGCCTACAATTACAGCCCAAATTAGTACCTAAAATTAATATAACACAATACATGTTAGCTTACAGGGGTGCACATAGGGGGACAAGTAGGATCTTATAAAAAAATACAATAAAATAAAAAAGTAATTGTATTGTATATAGAAAAACAAAACAATGAAGAACTAATTTTACAATTTTTAAATAACCTTAAACAGAATTTTATCTATAATATTTCGTCCTTGATACTGCAAAAGGTCACTTTGACGCCTTTCTTCACAAAGGAATCAACCCCCAAAAATAAAAAAAAATCGAGATAATTAACTCATATTTCACGATTTTTTGTGTATGTTATTTCTCTTCTGCAGAAAGGCGTCCAAGTGATACGACCTTTTGCATCATCAACGACGATTTACAATTTTATTTTCCTGCATTTAAAATCGGAAAAGGAATATTTTCAAAATTTATTTTATTTGCTTCTTCTGCTTCTATATAAGAGCAGTCTTCTCGTCTACTAGGCAACTGCGTTGAAATTTTGTTATTCTTTTTAAGACAGAAAAAAATCTTTCTCCTGTACAAAATCCACATTACTATTATTATAATAGTAATGTGAATTTTGTAATTGAATTATATAATATTAATATTGGGGAATGTTGAAGTAATGTTTTGACCATATGACTAACTTGGAGTCTTTGCTATTTAAAACAATGTTTTTTATAAAATATTTATTTATTTTAATTGATTAATTTTAATATTCCACCTACTTAAAAAAAATTGAGCCTTCTGCCTGGGCGCCTATTGGCTTCGCGGCGCCCTAGGCCATGGCCTAGGTTGGCCTATTGGTTAATCCAGCATTGTATAGGTCAGCTCATTACTAATCAGAATCAACGTGATAACTCGTTGATCTTAAAATCAATTCCAATTTGGAATTCCAAATAAAATTATATATACTTTTTATACAAATGTGGTCTTTACAAATCCAGTCTTTTCACAAATTAACCATATGGTGTAAGTCATTTTTTTGAAAATTTTAGTTGTAATATTATATTTTCTTCATATACACAGTGCCGGTTTAAGTTAGTTCGCCGCCCGGTTCTGGCACAAACACAACGCCCAATGCTTTAAAATATTACTTTTTTAAAAACATTTTTAAATTTTTAAGTCTTACTTTCTCACGTCAAGTGGAAGATTAGGTTGGTTAGGCTGGTATCTAACAGTAAACTTAGTATCCTATAAAATATAAAATGAGCCTTTATAAACGAATTATAAAAACTAATCAAAAGCACTAACTAAAAATTAAAACATTCTTTGGTTTATATAAACAATACTAAGTACTAAGAAAAACTAATTAAAAAATAAAATTTTAATATTTTGTTTCATTAAACTAATAAAAACTAATCAAAAGTTATAAATAAATAAAACATTATTCTTTGGTTTAAATAAATATTGAGAAATCCTAATACTAATAACTAAAAGGTTGTTTTCAAGTCTTTATTTGTTTTATAACACTTTACATTTATTTCATCCAGCAGGTCTTGATAAATGGACAAAATTGCTAAGGAGTTAAATCTTTCTTGGGGAATTGTATTTCTTAGGTAGTTCTTTACCCTTTTTAGAGTAGAGAAAGATCGTTCACCACTTGCATTTGAAACCATTAAAAAAAAAAAATTCGCAGACAAATATTAATATTCGGAAATGAAGATATTAATTTATTTTCGTATAAAACTTATTCTAATTCCAATGAAGTTTCTATTTTTATTTCCGAAAGGGAAGTTACCAGTTTCTTGAGTTGGACACATTTTTGAGAAAAAAACTCATCCAAATCCTCCACGAAGATTAATGCTTTTATAAAAAAATCTATAGATTAAACAAAAATTCAAATTTGTTTGTGCCAGATTTCTAGCTATCATATCGACAAATGATTTCGGATTATAGATTGTCAATTATTAAAAAAAAAAACATTGTTTCTTTTTTGCTTAAATTTGCCTTTGAATTATTTTCTTCAAATTGTAATTTTCTTATGATTATCCGCTTTTGAGCATAATTTTCGTTTCCTGCTTATTTCCTCGTAATGATCAAACTGATCACGTAAAAAATCAAAGTTCTCAACTAAAAATGACAAAAGATGAGCATTTGTGCTTACATCCATATTTTGTTTTTGGACTGCTTTATTGGTTTCATTAACCCTTTGCAAAACGTCTATCCAAAAAGTTAAAATTATTCCGTTTCCATGCAATAAATCAAGTTTTTCTGATGGAGAAGCTGCTTCAACTCTAACAACATTTTTCTCATTTGTATCCGTTGTATTCGCCGACGCAGTGTCGCAATATTTGTTTTTCTAAATTCTAACGATTAAGTATTTTTTTTTTAAATTAGGGCGGTACGCGGTACCGCCCTAAAAATATTTACCGCCCGGTGCTATAGTCCCCAAAAAACCCCTGTTAAACCGGCACTGCATATACATAAGTATATGTATATACGTATATGAAGAAAAATCAACAATTTTCGCAAGATGTACCTAGTGTAGTGTAGATCTAGTATTACATTTACAATTTTGCGATAACTATTCAGCAAAAGTGAAAAGTTTGCAATCATTTCGTGCTCTCATATACCAATCACATGCGTGTATTCCCATTAATCATAAAATGAATTTCATATCGCAGCGTTTTTACGTCACGCATGATTCCGCACGAAGTGAAGGCAATGTGCGTTTTGATGCCAGTGCTTAAATTCCCATAAATCATAAAATGAATATCATATCGCATCGTTTTTACCGTCACGCATGATTCCGCACGACGTGAAGGCGATGTGCGTTTTGATGCCCCTCACGGTTGTTATCTGGGAGTACATACATATTTATATATAAGTATACTTACGTAGTCTGCTAATGCCTTGATACCGCTTGGGAATCGTTTTGGATCAGGTTGAAGCCTATTGTTGCTGTCTCTTTCCTTTGAAGCCCAGCAATCGTCTATCATGACGTATTCGTAACCAGCTTTGAGGTACCCGTCTGCAGCCATGCGATCTGCCATATCCATGAACAGTTTTTCACTAAAAAAGAATTTATAATTATTATTATTTGACCAATTTTAACCTAATTTTGGCCTACTGTGGTTTTAAAAACAAATCAAAATTTATTATCAAGCAGTCGTGGCCGAGCGGTTAAGGCGTCTGACTAGAAATCAGATTCCCTCTGGGAGCGTAGGTTCGAATCCTACCGACTGCGGTTTTTTTTTTTAAATAGGATATTTCATCTAAAACGCTTTCTCTCTGACTTTATTTTGGTATTTTAAAGGCGCGTATGCAGTAAAAATCAAGCCACAAGCTTGTTAGGATTTCTAAAAAAATATCAAAACACAACTGTTTTTCAGTTTGAGGGGGGGTGTTGAAATCCCCCAAAACCCCCATGCCTTTAAAGTTTAATAAAGCGGCCATATTTAATTAAATCACAATAATAGTTGTGTAATACACAACTCCAAATGCATATTTCAAATTTCTACTGTTTCACAATTTTTAGTAACTGGTTCCGTAGTGTAGCGGTTATCACGTCTGCTTTACACGCAGAAGGTCCCCGGTTCGATCCCGGGCGGAACCAATTTTTTTTTTGTTTTTACAAAAAATGGTGTTTTTAGCTTAAACATCATAATAATCACAGAAAAACAATGCTGTCTGTGATAATTGAATTTTAGCTAGAATTTCTAAAAATCATGATGTGATGGAAAAACTCTGAAGTCGAATTTAAAAAAATATAATTCAATATTTATTTACCTTATACAGTCATCGGGATAAGCCTCGCAATCGGTAATACATCTAAATCTTTGCCAAGCCATCCATCCCATTGGTGGTGTTAAAGCTAACCCATTGTCCAAACAATTAACAAAACCAATTGTCAAGAAAAAAAATAGTAAAGCGTTTTTAAACATTTCTTTGTAGCAACTAAAACATATCAAGAAATTATGGAAATATGTTGTTAAAAATTTCCAAACAGATAAGAATATTTTTATTTAACCTAACAATGAACTGAACTATGGATATAATTACAATTAACTATATATATAATTATATTTATTTAACAATATATTGTATACAATTACAGATAATTTAAATGAAATAAATCTTACTTAAAGGAGTAAAATGAATATGAACACTAGAGTTGAGCAAACTCACATGCAGAACTTATCAAATTCAACCGGTTGAACGCAATGATAAAATTTAAAACTGGTCTGTAGCGACTCGATGTTTATTTATATTGATTATATTAGCTAACGGTGTTTTAAAAAAATGATTTAAATTAAAAAGGATGTTTTAAAAAACTTGGCCTAGATATAAGAAAAATCATCATTATTTAAAAAATAAAGTTTTATACCGGTACATTAAATATATTTGTAGATGAATTTAAAAAATCCCTAATACATATTGTTTTAAACAAATGTCCTAGTTGTTTTTTAGTGGGTAATACCCACTTGGTATAACACCTATTATCTCAGCAGGTATATGCGATTTATTGGAAGATTGTTCAAATAAAACAATTTAGGTAAAAAATTATCAGTCAAGTATTTATCAACAAATATATCAAACAACGACCCAAATAGAAAAAAATATAAGTGTTCCTATTATTATACAAATAGAATTTCAAATAAACAACATGTCAAACCCACAAATTTTACGCTTTTTCATAGTTTTTGCAGTGGTTCTTGTTAATCCTGCTTTCTCATTGGACAATGGGTTGGCTCTTACACCACCAATGGGGTGGCTAACATGGCAAAGATTCAGATGCGAAACAGATTGTGCTAACCATCCAAATGAGTGCATAAAGTAAGAATTTTTAAAGTTTTTTATTTCCTCAAAGAAACGCAATTATATTGAAATATCTTATCCCAAATTTGAACCATCATCATCTTTTATGGACCAACTTTTTTTTAAAGTCGTTTTTTCATGTAGTGAAAGTCTCATAAAGTCTATGGCGGACCAAATGGCTTCTAAAGGATATCTGGAAGCAGGCTACGAATATATTATAGTGGACGATTGTTGGGCTTCAAAGGAGAGGGATATGCATGGTAGACTTCAGGGCGATCTAGAAAGATTTCCAAGTGGAATGAAAGCTCTAGCAGATTATGTAAATATAAAAATTTAATTTTTTGAAGCCCTTTGACGTGCTGAATCCAAATTTGACTTTGGATTTCAATTAACGAGTACTTTAAACGGCACAACGAGCTTTGTGCAAAAATAATGTTTCGTTACAAAACGGGTTTTTTGGGTCACAATTTTTCAAAAACCTGACGTTATGGAGCAATTCTGAGGTCGGATATCCAAATATTTGAATTCAGCTCATCCAAAACCTTCGTACGAGGTGTGTTCAATATAACGGGAATTGTTAAATTTCGCGACTTCGGAGGGTCCGGTTGTCATAAAATTTTATTTATTATGTTGGTATACATGCCCCCGAAGTATGATAAAAACTTTAGCTGTTTTCATTGTTTACTTTGTCTGTGGCAGTCGCTAAGGTTAGACGTGTTTAATGAGCTCGGCGATTTTCGTTCGTTAAAAGAAATGGTCTTTGATTCATTTGTATCCAATTTTGCTTAAAAAATGAAATAAATTCTGTGAAATGTTAACAAAGGCCTATAGTGAGTCTGCTATAAGTAACACAAGAGTTTACAAGTGGTATAAGAGTTTCCAAGATGGCCGTGAATACGTTGAAGATGATGAACGCCCCGAACGCACAAGCACATAACAACCGATAAAAACATGGAAAAAGTGGAAGAAATGGTTATAAACCATCAGAGAAGTCGCTGATGATGTTGGTATATCGATTGGCTCATCCCATGAAATTTTTTCAAATGTTTTGGGTATGAAACGCGTGACAGCAAAATTTGTTCCAAAATTGTTAAATTTTGAACAAAATTTTTGGCCAAAAACAATACTGTAATGATGCCCCAGCCTCCATATTCGCCAGACATGCCTCTGTCTGACTTTTTCCTATTTCCAAAAATAAAAAAAAACCTTAAAGGGCCGTCGTTTTGCAAGCATAGATAACATTAAAAGCGCATCGCTGAAAGAACTAAACTTTAGTTACTAAAGGCTATCTCAAAGATCGAGTTTTAGAAGTATTTCGAGTACTGGAAGAAGAGCTGGCACATGTGCATAATATCCAAAGGGGACTACTTTGAAGGCGACATTTATGTAGACGAATAAATAAATATTTGTTTCATAAAACGAAAATTCCCGATATTTTCTGAACACACCTCGTAAATGTATAATCTGATTTTAACAATGGATTGTAGAATTTTTGTAAAATTGTGTAGATCTGTGTAATATAAATATGTTTAGGTTCATGAAAAAGGTCTTAAGTTTGGTATATACGGTGACTATGGTAATTTTACATGTGGTGGCTACCCAGGCAGTTTGCAATATTTAGAAACAGATGCCATGACATGGGCTGATTGGGGTGTTGATTATTTGAAACTTGATGGGTGTTATGTAGAACTTGAGGGCATAGATCAAGGTAGATATTATATTAAAAAAACTTTATAATTCCTATAAAACATATTTAGGTTATGGTATGATGACAAAATTCCTTAACCAAACTGGACGCCCCATTGTTTTTTCTTGCAGCTTTCCTGCATATGTAGGCATTAAAGTAAGTGAAAAAATAATGTTTTTTTCTATTCATACATATTACCTATCTATTAGGCAAACTTATCAGCGGCTGTTGAATATTGTAACTTGTGGAGGAATTATGGAGATATCAGTGACACTTTTGAAGATGTCAAAGATATAGCAGATTGGTTTGGTGATAACCAAAAACAATTGATGCCATTTGCTGGACCTGGGCATTGGAATGACCCTGATATGGTAAAAAATTAAACCACATAATTACCGTTAATAATCATGGAACAACATTTTTAATTAACCCTTTCATCATAAATTTACCCCAAATAGTCTTAAACGGTTGTATTTTTTAGTTGCTTATTGGTAATTTTGGTCTAAGTTTGGAGCAAAGTAAGCACCAAATGACCATATGGGCCATTTTGGCAGCACCATTAATAATGTCTGTAGATTTAAGGGCGATTTCAGATGAAAGTGCTGATATACTGCAACATCCCAAATTGATTAGGATAAACCAAGATCCTTTGGGGATACAGGGTGAATTAGTAAAAATAGTAAGTTTGATAAAGGGGAATTCCACGCCAGTTTTTTTTTCTACCCTACTAAAAAAGTTGTTGACAATTTTTTTCACCCAACCAAAAAAAAATTACAAATTTATAAAAATGGCTTTTTGTTAAAATACCCATGATTTAAAAATTGATTTAATGAGCCGATTGTTCCTTAAAATTGCAACAAATTTTTTTATGTCAAATTCTATGCAGTTTTTTTAATTTTTTGAGAAAAACCATCATTTTTTAAAAGTTTGCCATTTTTAGTTTTTTTCAAAAAAAACCTTATTTATTATTATTAGATTTATTCTGCGAATAATGCTGCTAAATCCACATTGGAAATAGGAAAATAATTTTTTTAAATTTTTTCCCAATCTTTTATTTATTTTTTTATTAGAACTTTTATAATAATATTAATTGAATTAAATGGCTCGGTAAATGGTTCCATGATATTTTGAACTTCATTTATTTAATGATTATTACGATTAACAATAATTTAATTTTTGTATACCCAGATAGCCAAACAGGCTAAAAATAAAGTAAAAATTGAGATATGCAATTGCTTTATTCTGCACGTAGTTGCGTACACCTTGTAATGGGCACGATATATGGGGAAGTTAATTTTTAACATTTCTTAATTTATTTTTAAGCTTTACGAAATAGAAGATTAAATTTTAAATATTTGTTTTTAAAATTGTATTAGGTGTTAGGTATAAGTTTCACTCTATAATTCCATGAATTCTTTATTTGTTTATTATACAATAATAATTTATGACTCCCATCTGGACGACCACTTAAGGGTTCGTTACACACTGAGAGAAAAAATGTTGTAAAATCATTTAAAACGATAATAATTCAAAGGGATTTAAATATGTTTTGGCGTCATTGGTGTTTCCCATTAAATTAATAGGTGCATAACAATTGTATAATACATATCTTTTTGAAACAACTTTGAGAAAGTCAATGAAATAAATGGATTTATTTTTGTATATATATTTTAAAAATGGTACACTTTAAAAGTGTTTCAAAAAATTGTAAAACTGTTGGTAAATGAATATAAAACTACAAATTTTTCTATTTGAATCAAATTTACCCGATTATTGAAATTAATATAATTTCATATGCTTTTCATAACTTGATATTTCTCTGAGTGCAGAAAGACCAAATAAGCAAGTTTTGGTTCATGTTCCTAGTCTTAAAAAATAAACATAAAAAGAGCGTGTTAAAAACTTAGAGAGAACGGTATTTTTTTAGACAGTTGGGTTTTGCTATTTGAAGGGAGAGTTAACTCTCCCTTCAAATAGCAAAACCCAACTGTCTAAAAAAATACCGTTCTCTCTAAGTTTTTAACACGCTCTTTTTATTATTGGCTAAATTCACTCCCTTATAAAAAATTAAAGAATTCAACTCGTTCCTTCCAAGAGTAAAACGTAATTACGTTTTACTCTTGGAAGGGACGAGTTGAATTCTTTAATTTTTTATAAGGGAGTGAATTTAGCCAATAATACATTGTTTTATATAAATTCAGTTTTGTGAAAGTGTTGTTTATTTATATAGGTATGTTTTTTCTATATTTTGTTATTATAATTTAAAGTTAAGCCGCGTCCAGATTTGTACCACGTCGCGCAACCGTACCACGTTGCGAACCACGTCGCGCGCAATCTGGACGTCGAAACGAACGCCGTCGCGAACCTAAAGCCGTGTCCAGATTTGTACCACGTCGCGCAACCGTACCACGTTGCGAACCACGTCGCGCGCAATCTGGACGTCGAAACGAACGCCGTCGCGAACCTAATAAGCGTTGCAGCTCGAGGTACGTCGCGATCCACGACTTGTCGGTAAACTGACGAAACATCAAAGGATTGGTATGCGACGACGTTGAACAAGTCTGGACGGGCAGAAGGGCAATTTTGTTTGTTTAGTTTTATTTTGTGTATGAAATGGAGTGGACCGAAGAAAATATTCTACTTTTAATTAGTTTATATAGGCAAAATGAATGTTACAGCTAGTCTTTCTTGCACTGAGATTGCTTTTCGAAACTTAGTATCTTACTTTCCTATTTTGGGCCCAATTGCATTAAGAAGATATTCAAAATCTATTGTTGACATTCAAATTTGAGTGAAATTTTTATATTGACCACTAATTCTTTGCATCTGCAAGCAATTTGTTCGCACCATATTTCGGTCTATTTCTAAATATTTCTGTTTGCCACCACCGCCTTTTTTGTTTTCGCTTTTTAGTTGATAAAGCGAAATGAATATAAATGTACGCTTTTAAAATCTGACTAAAAATTGGAACGCGGCAATGGTTGCAACCCGAGGTACGGTATGTTGTTCGAGGCGGCGTACGTGGTTGCGGGATGAAATTCGCGTCGTGGTTCGCAACGTGGCTCGCGACGTGGTACGGTTGCGCGACGCGGTACAAATCTGGACGCGGCTTTACAAATATCATAATAAGTGGTTAATTAATTAATATTTAATTTAAACTGTAGCGCAAAACAGTTCTCCCACTGTCCAGTCCCCACTCTTACCAGTTGATGACTCTATACCGAGGGCGCTCGATCCAGCCCGGCTGCCGGCTATAAAAGAAGCTGCGCGAGCCTCCGCACATTCATTCTGCCTTTCAGCCTCGCTAGGTTAAACAACCAGGCTCTCTGGAAGCGTTCCTCGTTCTTAGTTATTTATTTATTATAGAAATACATTTGTTGAATAAAGTTTTTTTAGTTTATTCGGCGTTTGTTATAACTGGCTCCCAACTTAGTGGCCGAAAAACTCACAGGTACTTTGCTTTACATTTTGTTTCGGGTATTTTGAGATAATTTGGCGGCATAAACAACATTATTTTGTCTTTAACCTCAATTGTCGCAACAACCTGTTTACGCTAAGAAAAACTAATTGGTTCGATAAGCGTCATTATTTTGACCTAGTCTTCTAATTGTTTGACTTATTACACAAACTTACCTATACGAAATATTAGTTCGATAAGCGTCATTATTTTGACCTAGTCTTCTAAGTAATTGTTACTTCCGATTTATAGAAAATCGCTGTTTAACGGAGCTGTAAAAACATTAGTTCGGTAAGCGTCATTTTTTTGACCTTGTCTTCTGATTGTTTTATGTGCTGCGTTTCAATAATTTTTTCTGCGCGTAATAAACATTAGTTCGGTAAGCGTCATTTTTTTGACCTTGTCTTCTGATTGTTTTATGTGCTGCGTTTCAATAATTTTTTCTGCGCGTAATAAACATTAGTTCGGTAAGCGTCATTTTTTTGACCTTGTCTTCTGATTGTTTTATGTGCTGCGTTTCAATAATTTTTTCTGCGCGTAATAAACATTAGTTCGGTAAGCGTCATTTTTTTGACCTTGTCTTCTGATTGTTTTAGGCGCTGCTTTAAATAATTTGTCCTGCACATAGCAAGCGTTAAACACAACACACCCTGTCCCACATAAATACGAGAAGTAAGGCACGTCAAGCCAACATGACGGCCACACTATCAGCAGAACAATTTCAACAATTGTTAAATACCCTTGGTACTAGCCTTACAGCGACAAATGTGTCCAGCAAGGGTAGTTTTAGCAAATGTACTGCGCGGTATGGCGGGGAGAGCACTCACGATGATTTAGAGAATTTTCTCACGACAATTACAATTTACAAAGAAATTGAGAGAATATCAGACGAAGACGCTGTGATAGGTTTGCCATTATTGTTAACCAATACAGCCGCAACATGGTGGCAGGGCATTAAAACAGAAGGCACAAGGTGGCAAGATATACCAGGGTTGATGAGAACGGCATTCTCCCCCGCAAAACCAGCATATGTCATTTATAAGGAAATATTTTCCGAAACACAGAAAGCAAATTCTCCTATAGACATTTTTATCTGTCATAAAAGATCGTTATTGGCTCAATTACCCAAAAATCGACATGATGAAGCGACCCAACTTGATCTAATATATTCACTCCTTCACGTAAAAATCCGTACGAAAGTTCCTCGAGACAGTGTTGCTACGTTTGCTGACTTATTGACCAAGGCGCGTCAAATAGAGGACTTCGAAAAAGAAATGCTACCAGTCGAAACAGTACGAGCAGACCCTCCTGCAAGAAACTCGCGTCGTTGCACCTTTTGTCACTATAAAGGACACACTTACGATCAATGCAGGAAACGTCTTAATCAAGCTGAGAAGACAAAAGCAGCTCAACCACCAAAACCAGCTGTTAATGAAAACGCTCGCACTCAGAGTAATACTGTAATTTCGCCTCCAACACCAACTATTACATGTTATGGATGTGGTAAACCTGGCTTTTACAGAAGCAATTGTCCAACTTGTTCAAAAACAACGAGGGATGTTAACGCCTCAGCAATTGAATTTTGCACAGTTAATGTTGTCGTCCAGAAAACAGCTGAAGTTCCGACAATACCAGTAAAAATCTGTGGCAAAGCGGGATTGGCTTACATCGATACGGGTGCAAAAACCAGCGTCGCAAGCACGTCATTGTATAAAAAATTGCTTGAGAATGGTTCCTGTAAATTTCAAACCAAATTGGTGAATGTAGCGCTGGCTGACGGGACGCGACGGAGACAAGAAATTCTTACTACCGAAAACGCTCCCATTGTTCTTGGAGACAGATCCTTTAGGATAGATCTTATCGTCCTACCTGGAGACAAAGACAATCGAACACTTTTGGGAATCGATTTTTTGGAAAGATGCGGGATTGTCCTGAATGTTCCACAAAGATGCTGGTACTTTGCCGATCAGCCGCGATTTGTGACCGAATTTGTTACATGTCCGGTGTCTCGCACGGCAACCGAAGAGAACATTCCGAATAATGGCCAAGTTTTACCAGTGAAACGTTTTACTGCGGAAAGAGAAGATAATAGTAAGGCAACTTCACCATTTATTGAGTTTTTACATCACCACTACCTTCGGACAATGAAGATGAACCTTACTCACCAGAAACCATCGACAACATTTTTCGCGACTCGCTACCGTTTAATTACTCTCCTGTGA